TGGCCAAGTGGTTGTTCTCCAGATTTCTTGGCACAATTTGGTGAGCACGTCCATGGCAGCATCTGTTAACTGAAATATGTCAATTGGTATACCATAGCCTCTTATTTATGTTTACAAATTATACTAAAAGACAAAAACAAAAATTCATGATGTTGTTGTTGGTAAGTACCATCGATTATGACTCACAGTGATCTTGTGACAGATTCAAATCCCATCCTATCCTGGGCCATCCTCACAATCTCTAACACAAAGCCCACTGCCACAGTCACTGTGTCAGTCCACCTGGCTGAGGGTCTTCTGCTCCTTCCCTATCCCTCGAACTTTTTAAGCATGATGTCCCTTTCCAAGGAATAATGTCTCCTAGCAACATGACCAAAGTAATTATTGTTGTTGTTTGCTGTCCAGTTGAGGTCGACTCATAGCAACTCTATGAACAAAAGACCTAATGTCTTTCCATAGCTATCTTTGTTTCTCCAAGTTCATAAGAGTTTCCAGAGATGTGGTTTAGGAAGTGGATGCCACTCCTGCTTCTCAACCTGTTTTACAACTGGGAGGTCCACCAAACACTGTCCACAATGGGAAACCATTATGGTATTTGATATCCCCATGGCACAAGGGTCAGCATCATAGCAAACCCAGGTTACCTCGTATAGCACATTGACAAAAAGTGATGTGCAAAGTGGAAGAATGTTCCTCCAAATATAACAGTACCAGTCTCATTTAGCAGTGGTTAAGTGTTGTCAAATGGAATATGACTCAGAGTAAGCTTTGCACAAAAGACCTGAACTCTGTTTTATAATTAACATAATATCTGTACATTTATAAGAGAATTTATAGAGTTTCCAGAGGCATCTAGTTTAGGAAGTGGATGCCACTCCTGCTTCCCAACATGAATCAGTCTGGAAGCTCATCCAACCATTGTACATAATGGGTAACCATTATGGTATTTGACACGACTATGCAATAGTGTTCAGCATCAGTACAGCAAACAAATTATTGCTGTGTCTTTAAAATAATATTCTTCTAAAATTAATAAATTTGGCCCGAGGGCCACAGGCCCCCCCAAAAAAAACAGTAAGACACAACAAAAAGGACCCCAGAAACTTTCTTTGCCTGACTGCCACCAAGATGAGAGCGCCATTGAGACACCAGCCAACTCCCAGAGTGGAAAGAGACTCCAAGGCCCCAGGCCCCAGGCTAGCCCACAGACCCATCACCTCATCATCAATTTTAAAATCACACCCTCAAGCAGGTCTCCACCCTTACCCTTAGTCTAAAGCTCAAGACAACCACTTTTGAGCGGGGGGGGGG